CTCCTCTCTCTCTCTCTCTCTCTCTCTCTCTCTCTCTCTCTCTCTCTCTCTCTCTCTCTCTCTCTCTCTCTCTCTCTCTCTCTCTCTCTCTCTCGCATATTATTTCTCTATTTTTTTAAATGGTATTTATATAGTAAACAAAAGAACAGAAGTGCACAATAGAGAAGAGAAAAGAATCAAAGGAAGAAGTATAATGAAAAAAGAGGATCTATTCATTATTTTTCATTGTTTTTATTTTTTATCGGACATGCCATTGATATTGTCAGTATAAAGATCACATGTATTATAATTTCTATTTACACATTCCAGCGTGTAAAAAAAGAAAAAAAAAATACATAGAACTTGATTCGCCAATATTTTTTATTCGCTCACTGATAAATTTAAAATGAAGGTATTTATATGCGTCATTTAAATCTGTTTTTGGTTTTAGTTCTCATTTGACTTGGCGTCACAGAAATCTTCTTTGATTTGATAAATGATATAGAATGGTTGATAATATTGATGATAATGATTAGGATTGTAGTGATAATTAGGTATCCCTTATTTAAAATGGATATTGGTGATTTTGATATTTAATTATGGTATTCTGTGATATATTAGAGAGACGCACCGATTTTGGTTAGTGCAGAATCCACATATTACGTAACTAATGATCTTGATTTGATAGTCGTGATAGAAAGGGGGAGCATGAAATAGTTTAAGGAAATTATGGATCAAAAAGGTTGAAATAATAAAGATTTTATTCAATGATAAGCAAAGAAAAATTAGAAAGACAAGCAGAGTCAAAATCCGCCAAAGAGTCCTTACGCTTTATTTCTGTGAATAAGTCTACGGGACGGCACGCCACGTTTCAGTAAGTACGTTCAATTTTCACCACCCAAAAAAATCTACAAAAATGTATACAATTACCTCAGCTGCAAACATCCTTTTTTCACAATACGTCCTAAATAGGCAACCTAACCTTACCTAACCTTACCTTACCTTACCTTACCTACCTAACCTTAACCTTAAACCTTAACCTAACCCCTAACCTAACCTAAACTTACCTTACCTTACCTTAAACCTAACCTAACCTACCTAACCTAACCTTAACCTAACCAACCTAACCTACCTAACCTTAACCTACCTTACCTACCTTACCTACTTACCTAACCTTAACCTAACCTAACCTTACCTTACTTTAACTTACCTTACCTAACCTAACCTTACCTTACCTTACCTTACCTTACCTTACCTTACCTACCTTACCTTACCTTACCTTCCTTACCTTACCTTACCTTACCTTACCTTACCTTTACCTTACCTTACTTACTTTCCTTACCTTACCATCTTACCTACCTAACCTAACCTAACCTAACCTAACCTACATAACCTAACCTTACCTTACCTTACCTTACCTTACCTTACCTACCTTACCTTACCTTACCTTACCTACCTTACCTTACCTTACCTTACCTTACCTTAAACTTAACTTAACTTACCTTACTTACCTTAACCTAACCTAACCTAACCTAAACTAACCTTACCTACCTAACCTAACCTAACCTAACCTTTACCTTACCTAACCTACCCTAACCTAACCTATACAACCTAACCTTACCTTACCTTACCTTACCTTACCTTAACCTTACCTTACCTTACCTCTACCTATACCTAACCTAACCTAACCTAAACCTTACCTAACCTAACCTTACCTAACCTTACCTTACCTTACCTTACCTAACCTAACCTAACATACCTTACCCTTACCTTACCTTACCTTACCTTACCTTACCTTACCACCTAACCTTAACCTAACCTTAACCTAACCTAACCTAACTTAACCTTACCTTACCTACCTTACCTTACCTTAATCTTATCTCCTAACCTAACCTTACCTAAACTAACCAACTTAACCTAACCTAACCTAACCTAACCCTTACCTACCTTACCTTACCTTACCTTACCTTACCTTACCTTACCTTACTTACCCCTTACCTACCTACCTAACCTAACTAACCTAACCTAACCTAACCTAAAACCTAACCTTACCTATACCTAACCTTACCTAACCTAACCTAACCTTACCTTACCTTATCTACCAACCTAACCAAAACCTAACCTAACCTAACCTAACCTAACCTAACCTAACCTAACCTAACCTACCTAACCTAACCTAACCTAACCTAACCTAACCTAACCTAACCTAACCAACCTAACCTAACCTAACCTAACCTAACCTAACCTAACCTAACCTACCTTACCTAACCAAACCTAACCTAACCTAACCTACCTAACCTAACCTAACCTAAACCTAACCTAACCTTACCTTACCTTACCCTTTACTATACCTTACCTAACCACCTAAACCTTACCCTAAACCTAACCTAACCTAACCTAAACCTAACCTAACCTAACCTAACCTAACTAACCTAAAACCTAACCTAACCTAACCTAACCTAACCTTACCTTACCTTACCTAACCTAACCTAACCTAACCTAACCTAACCTAACCTAACCTAACCTAACCTAACCTAACCTAACCTAACCTAACCTAACCTAACCTACCCTAACCTAACCTAACCTAACCTAACCTTACCAACCTTATCTAACCAAACCTAACCTAACCTAACCTAACCTAACCTTAACCTAACTAACCTAACCTAACCTAACCTAACCTAACCTAACCTAACCTAACCTAAACCTAACCAACCTAACCTACCCAACCCAACCCAACCCAACCCAACCCAACCCAACCCAACCCAACCCAAACCCAACCCAACCCAACCCTACCTTCCTTCCCTTCCCTTCCCTCCCTTCCCTTCCCTTCCCTTCCCTTCCCTTCCCTTTCCCTTCCCAACCCAACCCCAACCCAACCCCACCTTCCCTTCCCTTCCCTTCCCTTCCCTTCCTCCCTTCCCCTTCCCTTCCCTTCCCTTCCCTTCCCTTCCTTCCCCCTTCCCTTCCCCTTCCCTTCCCCCCCCTTCCCTTTCCCTTCCCCCTTCCCTCCTTCCCTCCCTTCCCTTCCCTTCCCTTCCCAACCCAACCCAACCCCCAACCCAACCACCCCACCCAACCCAACCCACCCAACCCAACCCAACCCAACCCCAACCCAACCCAACCCAACCAAACCCCAAACCCAACCTAACCTAACCCAACCCAACCCCTGGGACCCCCTCCTCCCCATGAGGAGTTCCACCCCTAAGACCTCCCATTCTACGTTACCTTACACATCATGGAAACTCGCCGGACCCCAATTTCCTTTATGAATACTTAAGCCCGCTGGACCCTACGACTTACCCATTAAGGGAGGGTCTGGAATATTGTTCTCCGAAAGCCATCACGGTTGCCCATACGTTTTCCATGTCTGTTTGTTGCAAATACACCGTGGTAGGTTAGGCACTTGTAACAGAGCTGGGGATGTTTGCGGTTACTTGTAAATGCTATAATGTCTGTATTACAATCACATGAATTTTTTTTCTTTCTTCTTTCTTTTCTTTCTTTTCTTTCTTTTCTTCCTTTTATTTAGCTTATTTATTATTCATTAATTTAGATTTATTCATTATATCATTACTATTATTATCATTATCATAATCGTTATCATATATATTATAATAGTAATATTATTATCACCATTACTACTTTTATCATTATCATTATTATTATTATCATTATCATTTTCATTACTGTCATCATTATCCATATCATTCCTATCATTTATTATTATTGTAATTATTATCATGATTACTATCATTATTATTATTATTATTATCATTATCATTATCATAATTAGCATTATCATTGTCATGATTATCATCATCATTAGTAGCATTATCATTACCATTAGCAATACCATTATAATCACAGTTCTATTGCATAAGTGTGGGATCACTTTAAACGATGCATTTCTACATTAAGTTTGTAACTTTGCAAAACATACTCATATGATTTCCATTGTTGAAATAACGTCTACAGAAAATTATAACCCAGTAGTATAAAACGCCCACGTGATAGAAAGGAAATGTACGTTTATTATATGTCTGTATCATTTCCTAATATGGTTTGCTATGTAATTACATTTGGCTTATTACTGTTATCTTTTTTTTTTACGGTTATAATGCGTAAAAATCTGCTACATATGATGGCTTTTTGTTGTTGAAAATCAATGCTGCTTTAAATAACTTTGCGCGTCTTTCAACAGTCCTTTTTTCAACAGTAACATGTCATTACGTATAATTTTAAACACAGTTCATACGCATTTCACAGTTGACATGCTTGCAATAGGCATTTCCTGAACGCCAAATTCCAGTATCAGATTTAATCATTGTTCAGTTCCATTCAGCAAAAAATCTCGTCTTTTGTGAAAGAGGATGAAGTGGCATCCACTCAAAAAAAAAAAAAATAAAAAATGTGGTTCCTTTGATACTTGGATATGTCTTACATGCGGCACTGGGAAAGAAGAAAGGAAACTGTGTTTTTTACCTGCTTCATTCTCTCGCTCTCTTTCTCATTTTTTCGTTTCTTTTTTATCTGTCTTTCTCTCTTTTCTTTTGTTCTTTGTCTTTCTATGCCTTTCTCGGTCTCTTTGTCTGTCTGTCTGTTTGTCTGTATCTCTCTCTCTCTCTCTCTCTCTCTCTCTCTCTCTCTCTCTCTCTCTCTCTCTCTCTCTCTCTCTCTCTCTCTCTCTCTCTCTCTCTCTCTCCTTCCCCTCTCTTTTTCCCTCCTTCTCTCTCCCTCCCTCTCCCTCTCCCTCCCTCCCTTCTCCCTCCCTCCCCCTCCCTCCCTTCTCTCCCTCTCCCTCTCCCTCCTCCCTCCTTCTCCTTACCTCCTTCCCTCCTCCCTCTCCCTCTCCCTCCCTCCCTTCTCCCTCCTTTCCTTCCTCCCTCTCCCTCCTTCTCCTCCTTCTTCCCTCCCTCCTCCCTCCCTCCTCCCTCCTTCCCTTTCTCCTTCTCCCTTCCTCTCCCTCCCTCCTTCTCTCCCCCTCTCCCCTGAGTCTCAAACCCGACCCTCTCCCCCTACAGCGACTTCCCCGAGTGGGTGGTGACGGAACTCCGGGCGGGCGTCGGGGCTACCTTGCACGTGAGAGCCTACAACGCCCGCGGAGTGAGTGACACCTTGCTCATGGAGGTCCTCACCACCAGCGCCCAGCATCGTGCAGCTCCGGGTAAGCCAGTGGGAGGTTGCGTTGTGGATTTTTTGTGTGTTTTGATTCCGGGTTGTGCTTCGGTTTTTGTTTTCATTAGCTTGCAGGTGTTGAGAGAGAGATAGGTGGATAGATAGATAAATAGAGAGGAGGGGGGAGAGAAAAGAGAGAGAGAAGAGAGAAGAGAGAGAGAAGAGAGAGAGAAGAGAGAGAGAGAGGAGAGAGAGAGCAAGAGAGAGAGAGGAAAAGACAATGAGAGAAAGGGAGAGAGGAGAAAGAGAGAGAGAGGGAGAGGAAAAGACAAAGAAAGAGAGAGAGAGAGAGAAGACTATATATATGTGTGTGTGGCTACGAATATAGCAGCCATAACCCTAAATATTCCCCTGCTACTTTTATACCGTAGAATGAAACGAGCTATAGTCAAACATTATGAAACATTGTGTATCACATTCTTAGTAAATCCGATGGAATTCAAATAAATTCCGTTATGTGCCATGAACAACGAAAATTTAATTGAAATATTACCCCCCCCCCCAAAAAAAAAAAAATAGAAATTGATTGCCAGCTTTTTCATAATCCATATAGATTCATTTGAGATCAAGCTGAGAAATGTACAAACCCTGTATCTATATTTGCGAATGCATTTGTGAGGGTGATTGATAGCTAACAGTCAACACATTTGTCGAAGTGAACAAGACATATAGATATTACAGCCTTTTAAAATCTGATCGTTGAAACCCATAATTTGTGATTGATTGGTGATTCAGATTTATGACTAGCTCTTTCTGTTCTGGAATGTGTGTGTGAGGGACAGACGGTCAGAAATTATACTCAGATGCATATTTTGGGCACATACAAATAGATATATGTACGCACGGATACGGACACACATACACACACACACACACACACACACACACACACACACACACACACACACACACACACACACACACACACGCACACACACATAAACACACACTACACATACACACACACACACAATTTTTTTACGTGTTAATCAAGAAAGCTCCAACGCCTCTTTCCCTTTGCAGACGCTAAAGGCATGCCCGACATCCCGCCCTTACTCGGCGCTGCGCTGGGCGGGGTGGGCGTGCTGCTCCTCCTGCTGCTCGTGGGCGTGGTCGTAGCGAAGCGAGTCCACCGACGACCCAAAAAGCCCGTCGTGGAAATGGCTCTCGCGCCCACCGTCGGCGACGACTACGACCCCGACGTCGTGAAGTCCATCCCGCGCCGCCCGCACAGCCTCGACGTCCTCCCGCACGCCCGCGAGGACGAGGCGCACGAGATGGACCTCCGCAGCCAGGGCGAGGACGACGAGGACGCCCTGGACGCCGCCACGCACGCCTTCGTCCACTCGCGGCCGGGGAGCTGCTCCTCCAGCGACAGCCAGAGCGTGGCGAGTCCTCACCACCTGGACGGCAGCCACCTGTACGAGCTGGGCGAGGCGGACGGGCCGCTGTCGCCAGGGAGGTGCTCCTGCGCCCTCAGACACAGCCACGCGCCCACGCCGGAGGAGGAGCCACGCGACCCCCACCACAGAGGCAGAGAGAGACAGGTCAGTATTTCGAAGCAATATTCGTAAAATCAATTTCGTCTTTTGTAAGAAAGCACAATGCGGTAATGTGTCACAAAAGTAAAACAGTGCAGTCCATTCCATCCTTCGGCGAAATTGTGAAAATTGTTCATCCATCCTTGGGATGGTGTCAGATTCTCTTGCGCAGACGTGACTCGTCGCTCGCCCTCATTCCCTCCCTCTCCCCGGCAGGACCTTCGTCTGACCGACTCGCAGAGCGACGACTCGGGCTTGTCGGAGTCGGAGTCGGATCCGGAGCTTCGGGAGCTGATGCCCGCGGGCGAGGCTGCGGCGGCGGAGCGCCAGGCGGGCGACGGGAGGGCCTACGAAGTCCTCCCAGCGGAGGACGCTGCCGCGCCGCAGTACCACCGGCATCCTCACTCGCGGTCCTCCTCCTGCGGAGCGCGGAGACTGCCTTCGTCGGTCTCCGCGGAGTTCAGAAAGCTACCGGTCTCTCCGGGACACCGGGACTCCCCTCGGGGCTCCAGAGTGCTTCCCACGTCCCCGGAGGACCTCCGCCGGCGAGTGTCTCCGCCGAGTGGCGAGTCCAGAGGCTCTCTGTCCTCTGGCGGGGAGCTTCGGTCGCCGTCGGACTCGCTCTTCGCCTGCAGCCAGGGGACGCCGCCGAAGGAGCCGCCGTGCCGCTGCGCCGCGCAGAGCGTCCCGCCCAAGAGGACCACGAGACGGAAGCTGCCAACCTCGCCTCCGCAGATAGTGAGGCCGAGCAAAAAGGCCCCGTACCACGCCCCGTCCCACGACGTCCCCGGACACGACCACGACGTCAGGAGGGACTCCGAGCCCTACGGAGCGGGCCGCCCTGCCACGCTCGTCGAGGGAGACACGGGGGAGATCATCCTCCTGACGCGTCAGTCGCCCAGGGCTGACGACCCGAAGAGCGGCCGCCACTTCGCGCCAGTCTTCCCGACCGCCAAAGTGTCCGATTCCTCCCGCAGGCTCCAGACGGCGCCCTTGCCCCGCCGAGGGAGCCCCGCCAGGGAGCACGCGCCCCGGAAGTACGACGCGTCGCCCGTGAGCCCCGCGTCGCCCAAGATGGCCCACCTCGACGCCTGCGACTACCAAGTGCCAGCCAACCCCGACGTGTGCAAGCGAGAGACGTCCGTATGACACATGCCCGCCGACACGCGCTTCATCTACCCGTGTAGGTATTAAAGGGTTCCCTCGTGCTTGCGTCTTTGTAAACAAGCGCGTGTTTACTCAACTGTTTATCTATTCGTTTATTTATCTGTTTAGGTATTTAGTAATTCATTTATTTATTATCTATTTATTGATTTGATTAACTGTTGTTTGCTATTGTTTTTTTTCTATTTATTTATTCATTCATATATATATACAGGGTTTGCGGGATATATTTCTAACCAGGGGGCTCCATGTGACCATAACCTCCACCCTTCAAAAGGCACATGATAATTGTTTTGTTTGTTTTGATTTTTTGTTTTGTTTTTGATCAAGGAGTTTTAGATACCAATTTTTTTGGTGATGAGCCGGATTTAGTTACCCCTGTAGCCTTGGTAGTAAGGGTAATTATCATAATCATTAGCATTGCGAGATAGGGACAACTTTAAGGCGCTTGCATTAATATCATATCCTACTGCCTTGGTGGAGGCATGCGGTCTCTGAGACCTTCAAGTCTTAAATAAATTCAGTGCTTAAATAAAGTCTCGAGGAACTGCATGGCTGTTCAATACAGACATACAGTCCATTGCCTGTTTTTCTTTGTTTTGTTTTGTTTCTCGAAATGTGTCGGTAGCTGTTTGCATCGATCCTATATCATGGCTGAGAGCAGGAAGAGCCCACAGTGAGGTAGAGAGACGCCAGCGGGCTGAAGCAAGCGGCGCCCATCAGTGAGGGTGAGTCCACAGCCGCCCTCTCTGCTTGAAGACTAGACCTTGGTAGAATATCGGTTTGTGGCTTAATGATAATATGCATAATTATATATGCATATTTATTTATTTATGCATAATGTTTTCTAGATTTATATATTAATCTTGTTAATTTTTTTTTTCTGTAGTTATTAGCTATGCCTGAATTCGCTTATCAGAAAGAATGACATATCCGATACATAACACTCGCTAAAAATACGAAAAACATATGCATTTTGATTATAAACAGGACTAGACCGTACATATTTGCAGTGCTCAGGGCAGCTGTAATTTCATACTGAAAAAGACAAGAACAAAGGCTATGATATTGGCGAAATAGGGGAGGTATTAATTGCACGTTCAAAGGTCGGAGTGTAAAATCCAAAACTGCATCATCAACATCCGTTAAAAAGCTGCAATAATCGAGGTTTCATGAATAGATGAATAAAACAAATGTGAATTTTTTTTTTTTTTTTTGCACAAGCACACGTGGATTTTAAAAAATTAATCTATTCCATTTGATCCAATTAGAGTACGCGACACACTGTGTATCTTCGATTTATCGTTTTAAAAGAATTCAAATTATTAGTCACACATTTTGCGAATATCACCTGCATTATTGAAAGTCCATAATAAAAGCAGCGTGATGAATTGAACTCTGTCAGATCCATTATACTGATGAAAAGATCCATTTTTTTTTTTACATTTTCGTACATGCACCAGGAAATTGCATTTACGTGTTCCATTCTGTAAAAGAAAAAAAAAGGTGTCGACAGACTACCAACAGCTTGCAACACTCAAGATAATTCATTACACGATATTGATGTTGCAGATAATCTCCTAGTTTAAATGACCCAATTAGTTTTATAGCATTATCATTTCAGTAGTAAACCTCGCGGTCATAAACTGATAATGTGAAGATCTGATGTTGATAGCAGTAGTGCAATGTTGATGATGTTCATAACGTTGGTATCAAAACAGGTATTATTATAGAAGTAGAATTAGAAACGATAAAAATGAGGTGTTACAGATATTAGTATCCACGATAAAAAAAAAATCTACATATGGAATTATCTACAAAAAAAGTCACAATTCTTTTCCACTTATTTCGGATTAAGCGTGTCACAATATTTCCCCACTTATTTCAGATTAAGCGTAAAAAATATCACAAATATCTCACTCCTTTTAGATTCAGCGACAACGCACCGCATAATATTGACACGAAGTATAAGTAATACCATAACTACATACAAATGAAACGCCTTAATCATCAGAGAGAAAAAAATAAACAAAACAGAATTTCTACGCAACCCATTTTCTTTCATTTTCTCAGGCATGACTCA